GGCCGGGCCCTCCCCGCGGGGAGCGCCGCTGCCCCGCTGCCCCTCCGGGCCCTCCGCCGTCCCGCTGCACCGCCCGGGCTGCGGCGGGGGCCGGGCGAGCCCCGCGGAGCTTTGCCCCGGGCTGAGCTGCCGGGGATCGGTGTGCGCCGGCCGGGGCTGCCCGCCGGCCTTGCCCCGGTGTAAGCGCTGTCCCTGGGCGCGGCGGGGAGAGCGGGGCTGAGGGCTCCGGGGAGCTGCCGGGCAGCGGTAGCGGTGCTGCTCCGTGCTCCTCAAGGGCTGGGTGTGAGCACCAGGGAGCAGATTGGACCCGAAAGGTGCCCAGCCCCAGCGGGAGCCTTTTCTCGGGGTTTGCAAACGTTGTGCGGTTAAACAGCGCCGGGGCTGGTCCATCACCCACCAGCTTGCAGGTCCAAGGACAGGTAGAAAGCCATGGCCACGATGGCCAGTGGCACGCAGGATGGCGGCTGTCCTCTTGGCACATGCCTTCTGTGTGTCTCCCAGCCTGGTTGTGACTCCCAAGATTTATCAATCAGATGCCTGTTCACACCAGAGGGAGTTTTCTGTGTGGAAGTGGGTCGGAAGGGACTCCCTTCACATCAGAAGCAACCACTATGCTAAACCATTGAAGAGCCAGAGCATCTTCAGGAGATGCTGCACCCTGCCAGCCTGTAATAAAAATATGAGAACTATCTCAGCCCCATCTCCCCAGGAACCTCCAAAACCAACCAACACCCAACAGAGCGGGAGGGTGAGGGCTGGCAAAAAGGGTTGGTCTGACAGGGCAGATGTTTGCTGCCTACTCTGTAACACACAGGTGGCATTGGCTACACTTTTTATCCCAAAACAGACAAAAGGTCTGGTCTTGAGTGGGAATATGTCTCCCATGCCTTCATACCTTCAGCCAAGCTCAGAGTTGTCTCTTTCCCTTCCCTGCATTCTCCTTGGCCATGCTGTGGTGCACAACCAAGCTTCTGCACTGGCTGTGGAGTAAGAAAGGAATCTATTAAAAAAGTGTCTGTGAGGAAGTGACAATTCACCATCACAGCACGGGCTGTTGGGACCTTCCAGCCCCCTGGCTTGGCACATCAATGTTATTGTGTTTCAGTGGCCAGATCTTCTCAGGGGTGGCCACTGGAGCTGCTCTCAGTGGTGTTCCTGGGATTTACATCAGCTGCCGCTGGATTGTCACCCCCTGCACGGAGAACAAGCCGTGCCATTGAGGCCAGGCTGGGGAGGGCAGCAGCTCCTGCCCGCAGCCTGGTACATCTCGACACAAGGGCGAGGGGAGAATAAGTGACTGTTTCATGAGGGCTGATGCGGTGGGAGAAGAGGAAAAATATGCTAATAGAGAAACATTTCAGCTAATTATGATAGCACAGCTTCTGCAAGGGGACCTGAAATGGACACAAGCATTTCTTGGCACTCGTGAGGACTTGGAGACTCTTTTGGGTTTTCTTTTGGCACAGGGCAGGGCTCCTCACTTTGAGCAGGACCTGCACTGGGAAAACCCATGATAGCCATGATGCCTCCAGGCAAAGCCATAAAGATTTGGAATCCATCCCTGCCTCAGTCCAGCTGGGACCATCAGCTCATGAGACTTGCCAGGGACCTTCTCCAAACCAAAGCACTTGGATGCAGGAATGCAGGGGCTGAACAGCACCAATGTCCCAAGCCCTGTGAGTCCCCAGTTCCCTGGCTACTTTTGTGGTGGAGCATGCAGCCAGGCACCCTTTCCAGCTCCCTGCCATGCCATGAGCATCCTGGGAGACCATGGGTGCTCTCTCATGCCTGCTGGGTGTGAGAGACCCGAGGCTGGGCTCTCTCAGGCTCTCTTAGCAAGGCACTGAGCACTTCACTGGGGCAGGGAGGGGCATGCACAGCCCCAAACAAGGGGCCACGGGGAGCTGGGCTCGCTCTCACCACCTCCAGCCAAAGGAGCAACTGGGTGTCTGCTTCAGCATGGAGCAATAATGAGGGCAGAGCAATGGGGAATGCACGGTGTGGGGTGAAACCCCAGGCAGACAGAGCCGAGATGTGAGCCTGGGTGTCCTCTGCCACCATGGCACAGATGTGCTCAGGGCAGCGCTCCCTCTGCTCCTTCCCCAGCTGTGCAGATGTAGACAGATGTAGACAGATGTAGGCAGATGTCTGAAGCCCTTGCTTGCCCTCAGTTCCCCAGCCCCTGCTGGGGGCTGGAAGCTGTCTCATTCCAGCACCCACAGTGGTCTATTCTTGGGTCTTTCCCCTCACTTTATAAGACAAAAGTGGATACCTCCCATTATGGTGTTTCCCTCTGCACATATGCTGCTCATCCAGACCACTGGGATAACATATTATCAGTGTAATTTGATTTCACCTTCACAATGAAGGCATTCTCCTTAAATACTGAATTCTCCTTAAATTCTCCCAACTCCTGCCCAGAGGCAGAATCCAGCCTAAATCCAGAGGTCTGTGTACCCTGTTGTTAAAACAACCAAAGTGCTGACAATTTTCCATGGTCGTCTTCACTACTAGAAAGTTTTTTTTGGGTTCAATTTGAAAATCGCTTGCTCCAGCTCAAGTTTTTCAGTTCCTAGTTATTTTTGCATCCACAAGTCTTTGGCTGTTGGTGAAGAAGCTGTTGTTTAGCCCTGGAAGGGCTCCAAATCTTTCCACTGGGTGTATTAGTTATCCTGAACTCCTAACCATAGCTGGGGTATTTTTAGCTCTGCACAGCACTCATCAAACAAACGCTGCCACAAGGTCTGCAGGACTCCCTGAGGTCCCCCGCAGCCCAGCTCCTTCTGAAGCTCCAGGCTCTGTTGTGCAGAGATGACCATGAAATCCCACCTGGGGAGCCACCCAGGACTGCGACCAAGGGCTTTGTGCCACCCCCCTGAGATCCACATCCAGGCTGTGGCCGAGCACACGGACAGGCATGGCTTGTGCTTTCTTACAGGAGAGCAGGAAGCTCTGTCTGGCCTTGGTAGTGCCCTCATGGAGGTGTAGAGGTGCCTGCCCCCCCCCACGCCCACCACGGAATTCTTTCTGCTGCAGAAATGCACCAAAAATCTGGTAGGAACAAGAGCAGGGCAGCCCCTTGCTCCAGACTTGGCTGCTGCCTGCTCTGTGGATGTGATGCTGCGTTGTCTCCTGGCCAGGCTGATCCTCCAAGCAGCATCACATCCACACTTGATCTTTTTGAAGACTCTGGAAGCAGGCTCCCCTTTTTCATAAAAGAAGGAATCAGTCTGTCTGGCCTCCCCCTGGCTCCCTGGCGGTTCCTCCCAGCCTGGGTGCCTTGCCAAGCCCTTGCTGGTCTGGGTTTAATAAGCAGCAGCTCTGCTCCAGGGATGGAAATTAGAGGTAGATGCTGCAGCAGAAAGTGCAGGGACGTGGTGGCAAGAGCTTCTGGATCCCTCCTCGCCAATGTTTCTGCCATGGCACAGCCGAGGCCTGGCTTAGAAAATGCACCGTGCGCAGCTGGATTTGCTTCTGGAGCAGGGTGTACCTCCTGCATGGCCTCCTTGTTTTTCCACCTAACTCCACATGGGATTGGAAAATACCAGTGGAATATGAAATATGAACCAGGACCTGCAGGATGACCCCACGTCAGTGGGCTAGCAGCCAGAGCCCAGTGGGACAGCCCAGTTCCCAGCAGACACTAAATCCCTGTGTCTCTGCAGCTGGGCTTTGCCCTGGGTGTTTGTAAAATAACACTTTTCCAGGAGCACTCCTGGGGTTCACGCCTTAGATCTCTGTTCTGCTGTTCCCCTGTCCTGACAGCTCTGCTCTGTGAGGTGCCCCAAATGCTGGCAGGAGGAGTGCAAGTCAGGCAGTCAACAGAAGCCAAAAGTTCAATGAGTTCATCTTTGGGTCCACCGACAGTGGAAGTGTTGTTAGAGAAGTAGATTGGTAAGGAGCTTGGAGTTCAATCAGCTGATGAAGGGTTTAAGAAGGGAACCACTTTTTTTCCTGCCCAGCTACTTCCCATGTTGCCCACTGGCCTCATTGTGGCATCCTTGCTTCTGCCCTCGTGGCCATAACTAAGCTCCCATTCAGGTGGAACCCCATCTGAAATTGGTGGGATATTGCTCTGTGCCATCTCAAGGCATGAATAACAAATGTGGTTTGTAAATGGGGCAAGGTTAAATATCCATGTGCTTCGTCCGTTCCTCCATCCCTCACTGGAGATGTTTGAAGCTGAATTTAAATCTATTCTCTGGGAGGATTTACTGAAACAGCTTCATCTCCACAGAGGGAGGGTTGTGAAGCTACACCACCCCTGTAGCTCAGCCAGGATGAAGGAGTGTTAAACCATCTGATTTCAGACCCCCAGATGTATCTGCTGTGCATAAGGCTTGACACCAAAGAGATCTCCTGACCAGTAACTTCATACAAGCAGCTTCTGCTCTCCATGGCACTCAAGAGTCATTAAATCAGGGTCCCTGATTATTTTCTCTGTGTGTGTGTGTGTGTCTTGTTGGCACATGGAAAATATTTTTGCATTCTCCTGTTAATTCTTTCCCAGAACTTTGCATTGTTTCAGCTGAGAACAACTCCTGGGAGGAGGAAAGCAGGAACAGGTGAGTGCCTGGCCAAGGATGTGCTGGACAGGCTCAGACCCCGTTTAGGATGGCTTGAGGTACCAGGGATGTGCATCTCAGCCTGTGCCAGAAATTAACATTCCCTCTGCCACGATGACCGGGAGCGGGATGCAGCCGTGTCCTGCCTGCTGCTGGTCTCCATCCAGCACATGCCATGGCCACCCCGAACCTCACCAAAAAATTTGGGCTCTTTAGGGT